CCTCCCCGAACGGGAGCTGGCCGGGCTCCGCTGCGGCCATCGCTGCGCGACCCCGGTGCGCCGCCCGGAGGGCGCGGGCCCCAGTTATACGGCCCGCGGCCGAGGGAGGGGGCCCAGGCGGCGGCGCGATCAAAGGGGGGACGGGGGGAGGCCCGTGTCTCTTGGGGTGCGAGCCCGCCCCCGGCCCCGCCAGACGCCGGTGGGGAATAATCGCTTCCGCTGCCCGTGGGACGGAGGGAGGGAGGCGTGAACTCGGGCCGGGGCCCCTCCCGCCCCCTCCCCCGTGCATCCGCCCGCCAGCCCCGCCGCCGCAATCCACATCCCGAGAGGAGGTGTGCGCCTCCCGGGTGCGCGGGCGGAGTGCGGGCAGGACCGCCCTCCTCTGGGGTCAGGTCACCGCTCCGGGCGGCGAGGGCCTGGGGCCGCGCATCTCTCCATGACCAGGGCGGGGAGCCTTGCCCGCTATCCCGCCTTCCTCATCAAAGGTATTTATTTATCCCCCCCTGCTATGTGCTAGACCCTGTACCAGGTTGGTCAAACAGCCCAGCCCCTGGCCTCCCAACGCCTCCCTAACACATCCTGAATCAGAAGGAGGGGGCAGATAAGGGGACCTCAGAGGGAGGCAGTAAACTCACCCTGAGGAAGGGGGTGTGTGTAGGGGTGTGGACCCTTGGTCAGGACTGTCCGTGTGGGCCCAGGAATAAGGGTATCGTAGGCAGGACAGCGTTGAAACTGTGCCCACATCAACAGACGCCTCATTGGGCCTTTCTAGAGATACCCAACAACGCTCAAGACCCGTCTAGCTGGAAGGGAGGAGATGAGAGGGGCTCGTGGAGTTTCTGCTCCCTCTTGCCTCGGTCCTTTGGGCCTCATTTAAGATTCCCATTTTATCCTGATTTGTGCTATGTTTATTGTTATGTATCTAAGATTATAAAGTCTTAACAGGAACCTGTTTCTCTTATTCAAGTCTATTGAGTGTCTACTTTGTACATCTATGCATAAGGCACTGTGCTGGACCCTCAGTGAACCTCTGTTGAATCGGATGTCACTGGATTCACTTCATGGAAAGAGAAACTCGTGGTCCATTATGGGGACTGCTCCACCACAGTGCGGGTCCTCAGGAGGCCCAGGTCTTCCTGCTCCCAGATCCGGAGCCCTGATGTCACCAGGAGCATTCACTGTGGATGACTCAAAGGGGGCTCTCTCTGTTGGGAGGATCTTGCAGGGACAGACAGTCCCTCTCCTGTTGCTCTCCATTCTAGGATGCTACAAGACGACCTCAGGAAGAGCCTGGAGATTTTCATCCTGAGTGGACTTGCCAGCTGTCGCAGCAGAAAGGATTCTTGGGGCTGCTGCAAGGACTTGTGTGCTTGATTCTCTCCTGGTTGGGGTGGGGATGGGGGTGTCAGGGACTGTGTCCCAGACCCCCTGCACAGCCCCTGAGGCTCTTCTAGGCAGCCTGACAATACTCACCACCTGCTCCTCTATCATCTACTCCCACCCCCACCCCTCTTTCCTTTCCCTTCCTCCCTTCCTCCCTTTTTCCTTAGACCCAACATTGGGGTTTTCAGGTAGAGGATGGATGGAATGGGAGGTCAGACCCTCTGTTTTTCTGTGCTCATTCATTCTTTCACTAACTCAAAAACCATCATGAAGTGTCACTGTGCTAGGTCGTGCTTTATGTGTGTCCCTATGAGGCAGGTATTCCTATCCCAATTTTCCAGATCAGGAAATACTCCCCAATCTAGACGCGGCCCAAATGATTCCAAATCCGCTGTGCCAAGCTGGCCTCCCGACATGACTCCGCGCTCACTGCCGGGTCTCCCTGCCACCCTCAGGAGGAGGGTGAAGCCCCTGCCCCTCTCCAGTCTCGGGGGTCGTTGTCTTGCAGGCACACCGGGCTCATTAGATTCCCCAGTTGCAGGCGGTGGTGAGGAAGCCAGATCTATGTGGACTGACTTCCGTTGCTGCGGCTGTGGGGACCAGGAGGCCAACCTCGGGAGGAAACCAGAGGTTTGCTGGCTGCTGGCTGCCAGCTGAGGTTTAACAGCCAGAGATGGCCCGGCAACCCAGAAACTCTGCCCGGGGGTCAAGGGTCATAGGAAGTCTGCAGCCTGTGTGGAAATTCCCCCGAGGCCTCTGTGCAAGCCTCATCCTTCTGCTGCCGTCTGCTCCCTTTAAGGGGCGCCCCAGCCTGCCTGTTTTGCCGTGGGCCAGAAAAATGGGCTGCAGGGACAGAGTGCCTGGTCCTAAGTGGAAACTGGTGATGGTTTGATGAAGCAATTAAACATGTAAGACCATCCTTCTCTGTCTTTTAAACTGGTAAGAAATTCCAGGATTCAACTTGCAGCTTGATAATCCTCCGACCGGACTAAACAAGCATGATCTTCTCAGGGCATTTCCTGAGAGTGTGTGGGGTGTTATAATCTTCCATATTGAAACAAGATTTCAGCCTTCCCTTCTCTCCTCCTTTTGCTCTCAAATGAAGTTTTACTTGTGTGTGCTTGTATGCACCTAAAAAATAACCTGGGTGAGGATTCCGTGGAAACCCAGGGAGGGAACTTGGAGTGAAGGGTTAGAGAGGGAGACCTTACTTTATACCCTTCGGTGCTGCTTTGTTCTTTTTTTAATCATGTGCACGTATTCTTGTTATAAGTACATGTTTAAAACCTAGTTTTTTGACGACAAAATGCCCTCTGGTATTCTGAGTTGGATCCTGGAAAAGAAAGAGGACATTAGTGGGAAAACTGGTGAAATCTGAATCTTTTAAAAAAACTAATTTTAAACAGCTGTAGCAGAGGATGCAGTCATGCATCTGGAAAGAGATACTACTTCACTGTGGGAATGGACTTCCCCGGTCTCTTGGGATTTTCATTGACGGGGGTTAGCAAGGTGTCAGCTTCTAAGGAGTCTCTACAGAAGCTCCAAGGTGTGCAAAGTTAGTTATTTTCTGCTTCTGCTTGACAGACACCTATAAAATCGGAAGTGGCTTTTGCTAAATCCAAGTTCTAGATTCCTTACTCAATTACCGTGCCGCAGACGTACAATGAATATTTGTGAATTCTTCTACACCCATTTCCCCAAATGGAAAGAGCCTGATCCTTGGCAATATCTTAAAAAATAATTATTGCAAGTTATTTTTCCCGAATAGATAATCTGTGGAATTTAAGTACATTTTGAATAGGAACCATAAAGTACTTTCTTCTCCGGAAGCAAGTCAGTTTACCGGTTTCAGAATAATGAACTGAAGTTCAGGGTTAGCTGAAGACACCAGTCACTGGTAAGCGGTCAGATTCCCCCTCCCCAACACCTGGGCTCCAATCTCTCATCACTTGATCTGCTGAGAGCTTTTGGCCATTATTTATATTTGTTCTGTCAGTAATATCTGTTGAAATAGAGACAAGGGAGGGCAAGGTGAAACAGAAGACAGTCCTCAGAGACGCTTCCTGTATAGTAGGAAGGCCAGTAAATACAAGTAAAAACACAGTAGAAAAGTGATGAGTTAAAAAATCATTTTCCGGAGCAGCCCAGACTGGGGAGGATGGAGCCATTGGGGTCGCCGTCCTGTTCTGCGTCCTCAACATTTCCCGCCACAGTGGCTGTCACTGACTCCCCCCAAAAATATCACAGAGGCCTGCCTTTCCTCTCCAAGTGCTAAGTACTCTCTTCCCGGCCCCCTTTGTTGTTCAGGTTGGGCCCTCTGCGCGGCCCTAAGACCTGGCTCCGGAGCCCTGGGTGTTTATTAGAGAGAGAACCAGGAAAAGGCAGCCGAGGGGGTCAATGGCTCTACTTCCACCTTGAGATCCGCACTTTGATCCTGACCTCACTTTGATTTCATCTCCTCTGCGGCCCAGGCCTCGTCTGTTTCTGAAGTTTATTTCAGAGCCAGTGGTTACAAGAGATTGAGACAACACCCCCAAAAGGCATTAATGTGCCAGGAAAGTGATAAAATGTTAAGAAGCTTCTTTTGTTGTTTAGTTGGCACCATATAAATTCAAATAAACACAAAATAGCTTTAGAACCCAACATGTTGAGTTTTTTAAAATGAGGATTCCTTTTCTTCTCTCAGTTATTTCTACCCAAAGCCTCTGAGCAGGAAAGCCTCCTCTGTCTTTCCCGACCGCATTCACATAGCTGACCAATAAGGTTAAAAGAACATTGCAACCTCAGAGAAAGGAAACCATAAATTTTCCAAGCTTATGGTCTACACACTTGACAGGAAGAACTAGCAGAATATTTGATCTTCAAACTCATTTGTCTGAACTAGCAGAATATTTGATCCTCAAACCCATTTGTCTGACATTTCTTTCTGCAGTGTGCCTTTTGAGCATTTTAAATGGGGTTAATGCGACCGAGCAGCTGAATTTTTTATTTTATTTCATTTTAATTGATTTAAATTTAAATAGCCATATGTGGCTGGTGGCTATCATACGGAACAGCACAGCTCTATATCATCATCCAGCAAATCATTTCTTTGATAATTTTTTATATATAGATACAAAGAGGTATTCAGTTGGTGCAGAATCATGCACTAGATTTGGATTCTAGACTCTCATTTTTATTGTTTAAACAGAACTCTGGATCATCAAAATGATTCCCTCATTTTCAAACCAGTCTCATACAGATTTGGCTAAACAGTGTGTTAAATATTACTGTAGCATTCATCTATGGTCTTTCTTCAAAAGTGACAGTCAGAATACTTGCTGGTTAAAGGTTTATGATACAAGTTTCTTTAACTTTGTCATTTGACTTAA